TGCCCGAGTGCCACATCCACACATCTTCTGAACACTTCCAGGGATGGTGGCTCCACTCTTCCAGTGCTTGACAACACTTTTGTTGAAGAAAGTTTTTCCTAATATCCCATCTAAACCTTCCCTGGCACAACTTGAGGCCTTTTACCCCAGTGCCACAGCCTCAGATCTTCCCCTCCTCCCACAGCCTCCAAAGCAATGCTGACCTCCCGCAGCATCAGCAGCAAACTCAGCAGCACCAGCCCAGCTCCAGCCCCACAGCCAGGGCAGCACCAGCCCAGGCAAGGAGCCACGTGCAGATCATCAGAGCTGTTCTGCACCCTGAGCTCCAGAGGGTAAAGGGGTTCTGGCTCTCGTGGCTGCAGCAGAACCAAGGCAGTAACTCCATGAAAAAGCACAGTGAGCAGGGTGTGAGAGAGCCTGGCAAAGGGGAGGATGCGCTGTCACTGCATGGATAACACCGCCGTGTGGCTCAGCCTGAAATGCAGCTGTTTGTGTGGGCAGAGCAGGCAGGGGCTGCGGTAGCACTGCCCAGGGAACCAGCCCCACATGGAAGCACCGCAGACCACGGCCCAGTCCCTGGAGGGGGAAGACTGGCAGTCGGCTCCCACCCGCCGCAGCCCCTGGGGCTGTGAGGAGGTAGCACAAAGGGAAACACACAGACCATGACAGGCTAAGCCTCCTCCTTCCTCTCTGTTCCCCTTTCTTTCTCTTCATGCTATGGCGAGGCTGCTGAATGGCAATAGCAAAATACTTTTGCAGAGCCAGACAGTCTTTTATATTTTGGGGTTTTTTTCTTACTTTCCTTCCAGCTGCTTTGCCGGATGCCTAATCCTCCATGGACATCTGGAGAGGCATCAGGACACAGAGGCGACATGCTAGGTAGGCAGCACATTGCACAGCTCTGCATAATTTCTGCTTGTACCTGCTGTTATGGCACAGCAGGTGACCAAAACACAAAAGCCCAGGGAAGGAAAGAAAAACAATCATGTCTGGACCTTCCAGGCCACAAGTACCCAGGTGGAAGCCCCCTGGCCTCACCATCAGAGCACAGGAAGGCCATGTCCTACAGCAGAGCATCTCACAGGCAGGAGGGCATTTAGGTGCTTCCCTGGGCCCAGGGCTTCCAGCTCCCCCCAGCACAACCCACCCCAGGCCTCCCAGGGCCAGAGCAGCTCACAGACCCCAGGCAGGGACCCTGTCCAGGCAGCAACAGCAGCCATTCCTCTTTTCCCTTTTTCAATCACATTCTATGAACACATTTTTTTTACATGCGTTTATCACAATAAAGTATCTAAATCTGTGGAAAAACAAAGCAAAAGCAGCTCTGCAAAGGAAAAGAGGAGAGAGCAAAATGGAGTCCTAAGGAAAAGAAGAGATACATAAAAATATTCCCAGGGATCTGGGAAGTAGCTTTATATATCCAAAATAATGATTCTTGTTCCCAGATGAGTCTCTGTCTTGAGCTCAGCCTCCCACAGCAGAGAGAGATAGCACAGAGCTGGTCAGCCGGGCCACTGGGTATCAGCTTACAGCAAAATCAAGTATTCAGTGTGGCTGCCTGAGCCCTCAGTGCTGCTCATCCTCCCTGAGCCTCCTGCAACCCCCAGCAGTCACACCCACCACCAGCTGCATCCCACATGCCAGCCACAGCGCTCAGGCAGTGCCACCCTTTGCCTGTTCTGCTCTTTTGTCTCCCACCTTGGTATGCTACAGCCAAGCTACTCTATAAGAAAAACTAATTCTGAGTTTGAGCAAGAATTCCTCCTGTGAATCCCACTCCACTCCAAAGGCAGCACTGCTCCAAACCCAGAACTTCTCAGAATCCCACACTGCTCTGAACCCCGCACTGAACCTCACACCACTTCAAATCCTGCACTATTCCAAACCCTGCGCCCCCCACCTTCACCCAGTCTTGTACTTGTCAGGTGCAATAAGGAAAGCAAAACCAAAATACAATACAACCATCACACTGTATCCAATTAAAATCTGAACCTCATGGTGTCCTCCCAGGCACTCTCAACAACGCCCATGTCCATCTCTGTTCCTCTGAAGCACCTCACACATCTCTGGAGCTTTGGAAAAGCAAACTGCACTCACACAGGGATGCAGAGCAAAGCCCCCAAGGAGCTCTGCTCTGCTGCCCATTGCCACAGCACACCCAGAAAGCAACAACAGGACCCTGCCTCTGCAGGCCAGCAGAGCCTGCATCAGGAACTGCATGCACCACTGGGAGTCCAGCACAGCACAGAGCCAGAGCCAGGGACCATCCCATCAACTCCAGCCCATGATGGGGCCATGCACTTCCACATCACTGAGCTCCTCTGCTCATTAACTCAGGCTTTGCTCACGCAGTTTCTCTGGTCTTCTCACTGCCTAGTAATCAAGGCAGGTGCAATCAAAAAAATCAACAGAGAGCTGCCCAGCCTTTCACAGACCACATTTGCCATATTCTGTCCTTCTCGGCATGATTTCTCCACCCTTGTGGAGCAGGAGGCAGGTACTGGCACGGGAATGCAGTGCCGAGGACGTGGTGTTCCCAATCTAGGCTGAGCAAAGAGGGCAGGCACAGGATCACCCAGCCTGGGGGGCTCTGGGCCCCAATGAGTCTTGGCACACAGGGCTTGATCACGAGGCAGGAGCAGCCCACAGAGGAACTACCTACCCCATCCCACAGGCTTCAGGAGCAATGTGGGGATGCCCAAAGCTCCATCCCTGGCAGCACACGCAGCCCTGGTGCCACCTCAAGACAGACACTGTGCCACCCAGAGAGGACAAAGGCAGGTGGGTGCCCATCTGCAGGGAGGGGAGACACTAGAACAACCTTGCTGGTGATGTGCAGTCCAGCACCCTGCCTTTGGTGCTGTCACCGGGAGGGCAGGGACAGGGCAGGCAGGGAGCTGTGGCTCTACCACTGCTGCACACCCGCAGAAAGAGTGGCCAGCCAAGGCAAGGTGGATGTGTTGTGACCAGGACCTCCTTTGGCTTCTCCACAGTGAATCCCCAGAGCCATTTGGTGGCACTCACCATGCGTCCTGCTTGTCCCAGGGAGGACGGCGAAGGAGCAGCAGGCAGGGAGAGGGGAGGGAGCTGCTCAGCAGGCTCACGCCTCTGACATGTGCTGCGTGTGGCTTCGCCAGACCGCAGGATCTGGCTCACTGAACGTGTGGAAGCAACACTTCTCCATGTCTCACTTTACAAAAGTCCCAAACAATAACTGTCTGTCGCTGCACAGGAGCTTAGGAGAAACATAAGTTGCTATTGGCATGGCACACAGCAGCCTTCCTCTTACACAACACCAGCAGATGTGAAAATAGCCCAGTGCTGCCTGGTGCATTCCTCTGACCTCCTGTTTGCTTCTGGATCAGATTCCAAAGCTGGATCTTAACCTACAAGAGCCATAAAAGCAAAGGATTTGGCCCTATCAGGGACCTCTTCATAATCTAAGACAGATGCACTCCGTGTAGGAGAACATGGCGAGGTTTATCAGGCAGGGAAGAGGCTGAGGCAGGACCACCCTCTGCTCTGCAGCACAGCCAGGGCAGCCCACGCCGGCACTGCCCCGTGCTCTGCCTGGCCACGCATTCGTGGTGGCTCAGGTACAGAAGAGCTGGAAGCTCTTGCAAACCAGGACAGCACTCAGAACCTCAGATCCTACTGCTCAGCTTACACTGAAGCTGCCTCCAGCCCACATCTGCCCTGGCAAAGGGGACCCTCTCAGGTCTCATGTCCCCAAATTTGTTATCCTCAGGGTCACTGGTGCTGCTAGAGCCAGCACAGCACAGCATGGGGCAATCCCCTCCAACCCTGCAAGGTGCTTCTAGGGTTTCTCACCTGCTTGTAGAGCAGAGATTGACTCCAAAGCCAAAGCCAAACCCAAAATCACTCTGGGGCATACAGAAAAAAAAAAGCACATGGAAGAGAAATTGCTCCTGGAAGTGTGAAAAGGTAGGAGAATAAACTGAAGAACGCTAAAGATGTGATAGAGGGAGAGTTCAGTAGCTATCAGCAAAAGCGCATTCCTAAGAACAACCTGCATGAATAAATTATTGTCTCCAGGGTCTGCAAGAGTATCCAGTGTCCCTGCTTTGGAACTGCAGCAACTCCAGAATGACTTCCTAAGAGGCAAGAGAAGAAAACAAGACAGGGGCATTGCTGTTTTAGGGGAAGGTGAATGACCTCTCCTCCAGGCAGCCCTGTGCTGCACACCCGCTCCAGCAGTGCTCCCCTCTGCCCCACCATGTTAGTCCCTATGCTTCTTGGTGGAAATGTCACATGATGGCAAAGCCCTGGAGGAGTCCGACTCATCCAGGGGTCTAAATCTCGATCCTGGAAACTTCCGACCCTCCAACCTCCCTGTGGCCAGGGCTGGGGAACACTTCCCAGTGCTGCCATAACCTGCCCACAGGAGATACTACACCTGGCCCATCACCCATGGCGGCTGCAGGGTGGCCTTGGGGACTATGAGAAAGCTTTTGGCCAGAGCTGAGCCCCCAGCACAGAACTGCATCAATGCACTACAGCCCTTGTACACGAGGATCCACCAGAACACACAGAGCATCCCCAAACCATGGTGTTTTGTCCCAGAATCCCTCCAGCACCACACACACTGGAGGGATTTATACCTTTGCACACAGAGCCACAGGTACCAGGTAGCAGCAGAGCAGAGTAATTCTAAGACCAGCACACAGGACGAGCCGCAGATCATGGCTTGAACGCAGGGCGAAAGGCAGCCTTAGAATATAATCCACTTGAGGAACTCTTAAATCTCCCCAATACAACACAGAGCCCTTTAAGCAAAACTAAACAACTTCCTTTAGACTAAATAAATATTAAACCTAAGTGATGCATTAATTTACTCCAGTTCACCAAAGGCTAACTCCTATCCAAACTGATCATTACTAAAGAAATCCTATAATCCCTTGCTCCCAATCAGGCTCAAAACGTGTAATCCTATGAATAAATCCAGAAAGAAAGTGTAACAAAATGGGCAATAAAAACTTACAGCATTCACATCTTTTCATCTACCATTAATACTGTAAACACTCACTCGAAGGCCCTCGAGTATGACTAATCTAATGTTTTGGCTCCTCACACCAATCGCCAAAGGAGCTCGGCTGTGCGTGTGTCACCCAGCGAGCTCCGCCGCCTCTCCAGCCGCAGCCAGGACACCTCCGCAGAGCCCAGCCCAGCCATCCCACCTCACAGCCCCCAAAACGCTGCAAAATCAGCACAAAAGGTAGCAAGTATGGTTCTAATAGCACCAGAGCACAGAGCTTTCTTCTTTTTTTCCTTTTTTTTTTTTATTATTTTATTGCTTTGGAAGCCTGCAAGCTCCAACTGTATAAATGCCAATAACTTTGTTTTAAGGCTGCTGAAGTAAGAGATCAGATTTTAGCAAGTGCTTTCCAGGCAGCCAGCCAAACTTTTTCTGATTCACTAAAAGCACCGAAGGGAGGGGGAGAGGAAGGGGGCTGGAGGGCTGATTAACTTCAGTTACCGCACAAGCGCAAAAAAACCTCCCCCCGCTACAAAGGGTTCCGGCGCTGCGAGCCCTGCGCAGCCTGTGATTCCTCGGGCTGAAAAAAAACCGCACCAGAGAAACAGAGCAAACACCTTCCAGCGGCTGGGTAATTTACAGCTGCGGATCCTCTCCTGCTGAGGAGGCTGCTCCACCAGGGGAGGCTCTGCTGGTGCCAGGTTCGAGCTGCAGTTTTTGGAGGGGATGAGGAAAAAAACGTGATCGGGCATTTTTTGGATGGGTGGGAGAGCAGGGGATGGGGCTGGTTCGGGTTTTAGCTTGGCCAGAGGAATGGAGCCCCCTCCAAGGCTGTGCTCATCCAGGACCATCCCCTGCTGCCGCTGGGGATCTGGAGAGGGTGAGCAGGTGCAGTCCCGGCCAAAGTACAACTCGGGGCCAAGGGTGTCACAAGTGTCCCTCAGCTCCGACGGGAAGGTCGCCGCAGCCACCGAAGTGGCACCTGCTCTGCGCGGCCCCGCAGGTGGGTCTGCTCCAGGATGTCCAGCTAAAATCCCTGAGGCAGTGGGGCAGCTCCAGCCCCATCCCGCGGGCACCTGGGCTGCAGAGCCTCGCTCAGGGTGTTCCTCCAACGGCCTCATTCCTGCCGAGACAGGATCAAAGGCTGGAGCTGACTTGGACGGCGTTCTACTGAATAATGGGAAGGGAGCACGCAGCCTCCTTCTCTTGGCTAGGAAAACTTGTGTTTTTCAAAGCATCGGGTTTTGGGAGTGAGTTACCGAAGAGGGGGAGAGAAAAAAAAAAAAAAAAAAAAAAAAAGAAAGAAAAGAAAAAAAAGGCGAGCAGGAGAGCGCCTGCTCTTCCAAGGCAAGTGCATCAATCAACATTGTGCAAGGAGAGTCCAGCACTCCTTCTCACATCATTAGCCAGGCTAATGCACTCCAGAAGATGCTGCTACGGCAGGCTACCGGCGCACCGGCTGCACCCCTGCCCGCAGCGGGGCACGGGACGCGAGCTGAGCACAGGGGAAGCCCCGGTCCAGGGCAAGTGACATTCCAGCATCTGGTGCGGGGCTCGGTTTAACACAGCTATAAAAAACTAGAGGGAAACAAGTGAGAGCCCCAGCCAAACCTGCCAGGCACTCGAGGTCAGCACGCCGCCTTTGTTTCTATTTTACAACCAAAAGCGAGAGAGGACAGAAAGGACACGTACCTGTACCTGAACGCACAGCAGCAGGAAATGTAAACATCTGGAGAGGAGAAAAAAAAAAGCAACAAAAGATCAAATGATGCGATAGAATGATTAAAGTTGATTTTTGTTTTGTTTGGTTTTTTCTTTGTTTTTGTTTGCAATTTTTTTTAATGGTTCAGAGCGATGCTCTGCTTATAAAAAGACTCGGGTCCCCATTACCACCTGGCTGCAAGGAAAATGCAACCGGAGCCTTCAGAATGAAAGCTTAAAAAAAAAAATTTAAAATATTTTTAAATTAAAAAAAATATTTAGAAATATGCCATAATCCTTACAGGCAAGTGCAGGCTGAGAGCAGTGAATACATCGCTGGGCGAGGAGGGGGTTGGCCGGCGGCTGGTCGCTAGCGGAGCGCAGTCCCCCGCCGCCGCGCTGACATGGGAGCGATCCGGCCGGCGAGCTCCGATCCGCGCCGCGCTGCTCCGCGCCGCTCCGCGCCGCCGGGAAGTTGTGGTACCGCCCGCTCTGCCTCCGCCGAGTGACTCGTCAGGCATCAGCTCTCCTCTCCGCCTGTCTCTCCTCCTCCTCCTCCTCTCCCTCTCTCCGCCTTTGGGGGGATGAAGGTGCTTATTGTCAGTAACTTCCGATCATCAGCAAGTGCCCCCCCGCGTCCCCCCGGGCCGGGCCAGCCCCGCCGGGCGGATGGAGCCTCTCGGCCGCCGCCGCGCCCCGCTCCGGGCTCCGCTCCGCGCGCTGCGCGCTGCGGGCGGGCGGCATAGCGATG